GCTGGTATTATATTCCTACCCGAGTACGGTGATGTTAAATAAGTATCATTATTAGCAATTATGGCTCTTAACTTCTTAAGAAGTTCAGAATTTGCTGATTTAATTAGAGATATTATTAAGAAGGAAAATGAAAAACTATATGAAAAAATATCCCAACTGGAAAATGAAATAAAAACACTAAAAGAATGTAATGGAAATGTTGTTCCCCAAAGAATTAATGCTAGTTCTTCTAAAATTATTAATAATACGTATGCTAAGGCTGCTGGAGACTGTGTTATAATAAAACCAAAGGGTGCTCAAAATTGTGATGTAACACGTGAAGAAGTTCGAAAAAATGTTTTACCAGCTGAATTAAAAATTGGTATACAAAGTATAAAAGATATTAAAAATGGTGGTGTTGCTATTCACTGCAATAAAAAATCAGATGCTAATAAAATCAAATCAGCTGCTGAAGAATGTTTAAAAGATTACGAAATAAAACTTCCCAAACTACATAATCCAACAATAAAAATAATAGATATAGAGGATAAATTTGAGGATACAGAGCTAATAGAATACTTAAGGAAACAAAATAAAATTTTAGAGAATTCGAACCTAAAAATTGTTGTTAATAAAAAAATGAAAACAAAATATATGGCTATCATTGAATGCGATAACGAAAGTTATAAGAAGATCATGGAAGACAAAGTATTATATGTGAATTGGGCAAGCTGTAGAGTATTTGAATATGTTAAAGTATTTAGATGCTTTAAATGTGGGGGATTTAATCATCATGGTGAAAAGTGTACTGCGGAAAAAAGATGTCTAAAGTGTACTTCGGTGGATCATGAAACAAAAGATTGTGATAATAATTCGGTAAAATGTTTTAATTGTGTAGAAGTAAACAAGAAACAAGACCTGAAATTCGATGTTAACCACTATATTTTTAATTATAATTGTGCAGTTCTATTAAAGAAAATTGAAATTGAAAAACAAAAAATAAAGCGTCCAATTGACCAATAGCAATTAAAGAAAAATGATCCTATAAATTTTAAAATATTACATCAAAATATACAGTGCATTCGAAATAAAATTGAGCAATTGGAAGTTTTATTGCATAACGAAAAAATTGATATAGTCTGTTTTTCTGAGCATTGGCTGAACGACATTAATTATGAGTGTATTAATATACTAGGGTATACTATGGCCTCCATATATTGTAGGAAAAACTTTAAAAATGGAGGGGTGGTTATATTTCATAAACATAAGTATTCAGATTATATTAATGAAATTAATTTTCAAGATATATCTATTGATAAAGATGCTGAGTTTTGTGGTATTGAAATAAAACTACCTAATATATGTTTTCAATTAATTTGTTTATATAGGTCTCCACTGGGAGATACTGATATATTTTTTGATAAACTGAGATTATTACTGAATAAGTCTTGTAGGAAGGGTAATATTTTTTTGTGTGGAGATTTAAATATTAATTTTAATGAGAATAGTGTCCTGAAAAATAATCTAAATGATATATTATGTTCATACAATTTAAAAATGCTTTGCAATGAACCAACTAGATATTATGATACTGGATCATCTTGTATTGATTATGTTTGCACAAACTGGATTCCGTTGGATAATGTTAAATGTCAAGTTATTCCAAATGGCCTTTCTGACCACACTAGTCAAGTCATTTCGTTAAATTTTGTAGTTAATAAATCGGAAAAGAAATCTAAAAGATCTTATACAAATTTTTCAAAAATTCAATTCTCAAATATGATAAAAAATGAACATTGGTATGAAGTCTATACTGCAAGTTCTGTTGATGATGCTTTTGATTCATTTATTAATACTATGAAATATTATATTGATGTTTGTTTTCCAATAAAAACCATAAATTGTAACGTTTCAAAAGGAAATTGGATTACTAAGGGGATTAAAAATTCATCTATAAGGTTAAAAGAACTATACAAAATAATGATTCAAACCAAGAGAGCAAATGATAAGTTAAATTATAAAAAATATAAATTCATATACAAAAAAGTTATAGTTGCAGCCAAAAAGATGTACTTTGATAAAATGTTTAACAATTCTAGTAATAAATCAAAAACAATCTGGGACGTTGTAAATTATACTACAGGTAATGCAAAAAATGTAAACAACAATATAAAAAACATAACTATAAATAACTTATCAGAAACGGATTCAAACCAAATTGCAAATTATTTTAATGAATATTTTATTAACTTACCAAAAACACTAAATAAAAAATTTTTAGAAAAAATAGATTATTATAAAATTAATAACAATAAATACCCCACTATGTTCTGCAGACCGTTATCAAATTCAGAAGTATTCAATATAATTATAAATTTAAAAAGAAATAATTCTGCAGGTATGGATTGCATTAACTCAAGGATTTTGTATCTTTGCTTAGATTCTATTATTGAACCTTTGTCTTTTTTAATTAACTTGTCAATTTCAAATGGAATTTTTCCTGATATATTAAAATTGTCAAAAGTAATACCCTTACACAAAAAAGTGATAAATCAAATGTTTGTAACTATCGCCCAGTGGCCATTTTATCAACTATTTCCAAAATACTAGAAAGGGCTATGTTTAATCAAATGTACATGTTTTTGGAAAAGTTTAATGTTTTATCAAAATTTCAACATGGCTTTCGTAAAAACCTAAATACACAGTCTGCGATTATGGATTTTATTGATATTTTATATAAAAAACTGGATAACTCTGAAAAGTGCATTGGTCTCTTTATGGATTTGAGTAAGGCATTTGATCTAGTTCATCATGCTCTGCTTATCCATAAATTGGAGGCTTATGGATTTAGAGGAAAGATACAGGATTGGCTTATTTCATATCTGTCCAATAGAAAACAATGTGTGCATGTCAATGGTTGTTACTCCAGAACAAAATTCATAGAAACAGGGGTTCCCCAAGGATCTGTACTGGGCCCCCTGCTTTTTCTTTTATTTATAAATGACTTTCCAGATATATTAAATAATACTAATATTGTCATGTTTGCAGATGATAATTCTCTTTTGAGCTCAGGAAAAACAATAAATGAAGTTTTAAATAATTTGCAAAATAATTTAAACTTGTCAATTGATTGGTTTAACTTAAATAGACTTCATTTGAATGTTTCAAAAACTGTTTTCACAAGTTTTCATTTGAGGAGATTAAATAAAGATTCCAGTTTCTTACTTAAAATTGGTGGTAATTCCATTGAAGAAGTTGAAAAAACAAAATTTCTAGGCCTACATATTGACAGATTTTTGATTTGGGATGAGCATATAAATGTATTGTGTAAGAGGCTGGGATCAGTTTCCTATGCTATTTATAGACTTAGAGTAACTGTGAGCTTGGAGGTTCTCAGGACATATTATTTTAGTGAGTTTGTCTCCAGACTTACCTATGGTGTTATGTTTTGGGGTCTATCTTCACATGCTCATAGGGTCTTTAAGATGCAAAAGGCAGCTATTAGAAATATAAAGGGAGTATCAGTTAGAACATCATGCAGACATTTATTTAAAGATCTAAGGTTGTTGCCACTTCCCTGCATATTTATGTTAGAAACCTTATGTCACATTCATAAAAATATAAGAAATTACAATATTAATAGTCATTATCATGAATATAATACAAGACACCGTAACAACCTTGGAATCCCAATTCATGCAACTGCAAAATTTGAGAATAATCCCAATTATTAGGAATAAAATTGTACAATAAGCTGCCATCTGCATTTAAAGAAGTTTTAAATTTAAAAAAATTTAAAAAACAAGTGGGAAATTATTTTTTGGAACACTGTTTTTATACCTGCGATGAGTTTTTATTTATGTGAGCTATTTGTAACTGTAAATTATTTTCAAATTTTATTAATGTTGTATTTTACTATTGTTTAGTCATTCTTAGTATTTAATTGTAAACATGTGTACTCTTGACTAGTCCTATACCATGTAATGGTCTTACAGGATAATAAAGTTTATTATTATTATTATTATTATTATATAGGTTGGACATATATATAGTAAACATTGTAATGATTATAAAACTCACAATCATTACAATGTTTATACACTTGGTGTATATTAAAGTACCTACCTATTAAAAAATTAAATGATGACGGTTTTTTTGATTTTTTCTTGCCTTCAATTTTTTTTACAGTTTTATTAGACGTCTATTTCAATGATTTATTTACTTCATTACCTTACCTTAGTGTTAAGAAATTTAAAATATTAATTTATTATTTTACTTTATAAGGTAAGTTTTCGAAAGTATGACTAAAACTTTTACTCATATACATTACTGTAAAAGTTATTTTTAAATATTTTTTTCAAACTTGTAATAAAAAATTGTTTAATCAATCATATGATACATTTTATACATGTCTATTCTGTAACTTTTCATTTTAATTTTAAACTGTTTTGATTTTTAATTTTTAAATACTATTCTGTAATAGTAAAAGCAATGTTAGAGTGTATTTTAAAATAGACATGTATACAATGTATTACTATTACCACGCAATTAAAAATCAATTGTACAAAAATCAATCTGTTTTGGAAGTTATTGTTAAAACTAAGGTTAACTTTAAAATGGAGATATACCATTTCTTAAATTATTTTGTATCGATTGCAACATTAACTCTAAAATATCATTTGTTTGTATAAAATCTTCAGAAATAGACTTTTACCTCCATTGAACCACCCTGTACGTGAACCGATGAAAATTGAACATAATAAAATCACACATGCGAGAATGCATTCTCGCATAGGAACGAGGGTTCTTAAGTTTTCGTTGTTTGTTCCAAATTAACCTCAGATAATAATTTTATTAATTTTACAGCACATTTACTTATTAATTTAGCCCGTTGAGCATGTAGATTTTAAATTTAAGGTGTGTTGACCGAACTTTCAAATTGAAGCAAATTAGATTAGATACTTAATATTTTTTAGTTTATTTCGTTTATTTATCAAAACTCAATAAAAAATACTTTTTAGCACTGTTTTCAAGATGCCAGGACCACTTGCTGTAAAACAGAAGAAAAAAAAGTTAAAACTGTAAAATATAAAACAATGGTCATGGAAACTTACACCTTATTTTTATTTTATTTATTATTGTTATAAGGCTTGTAATACAAGCTAAGCATTAAATAAAAAAAATTAATAACAAACTATGTTTTCTCTCTAACTTCACAACACCTATTAAATCCAACAAATCCAGATTTTTTCCAAGAACTACGTAGTGTTTTTAATTTTTTACAACTTGTGTGCGTTTAGGACGATTTCTTTACGAATCAGGGCCGTGCATGGTCGTAGTTAGGGTTGGAGTTGCCCCCCCTGAAAGGCCTGGAAAAAAATATATTGGCATGGACACTACTAAATTGTTAGCCAATTTAATTATGCGTCGCGAGTTAAAGATGTTTGATAAAAAAGTTTTTATGAACACCAAAAATTTATTAACGAAAGATTTACTTATTACTTATTACTTTACGATATTTTTTAACTATATCTAAACGGATGTAACTTGATTTTATTTTACTATTTAGTTCACATGAAGGTATTTCCATTAAGAATATTAGGTCGCTGTACTGGGAGCAGGGTCTGCGTCCGTAACACGCCCCAGTACCGCCATCCCGACGATCCCTTTATCGAGAAAGTATATTATTTTACATACAAATCGATGTAGGATTGAATCCAATCACAATTAAATATCTCTACCATAGATATAGGTAGTAAAGGCCTACAAAACCAAACATTAAAATAAAATATTGTGTATTTTATTTCAATGTTAAATTTTGTTTTCGCAGTATTAAAAACAATTCAAGTTTTTTAACACAAACGTTACGAAATAGTCCTAATAATGTAGAAAAAAATAATAAAGATGTACTAAATATAAACCTTGGAGTAGATAATGTAGAAAATATAAAATACCTACTACATTAATCCTAAACAACTTAAAACATTAAAGTACTAAATAAGGTAAATAGTAAAGCCTTCAACTTAAATAACAAGGGCATGGATATTTAACAATACCAGAAAAAATAAATTATTTACCGAATTAAGTTAATAAGCCTTAAACTTGGAAACAACGAAGGCTTGAGAATTTAATACCTGGGAAATAAATTATTTACAAAATGAAGTAAATAAGCCAGTACGACAGCATCACTTGTACCCACGTATATCCGTTCGCTCCCAAAAATATAACCATAGTGTGGCTTTAAACAGTGCATTATAAATCCATAATACTTTATATATATACAGTGTGTCTCACTTTTCATGACTTCCATATTGTAGCTCCGTTATTAGTAATACGATTTTTACACAATTTTGGTCGCTAGTACTTGCCCATCAGGTGATCATGGCGCAAGAAGAAAATTTAATTTTCACGAGTGGCGTTCGTTGTTATAACAAAAAAACAATCTTTTTAGAAAAATATATTAGGCAATTTTTAAATGGTCTGATAATAGCATATTGTTATTTACCATCATCGAAAACCCCCCTATACCAAATATGAAAATAATAGCATACAGGGTGTTGACGTAACTAATAATTAAATCTAACATATTCTATCACTATAAGTTAATTATAACATCGATGAATTTTACCCAATTATTACAAATACATACAAGTTATCGAATAGCAGTTTGCTCTACGTATTGGCCATCGACAATTATGCCGATTTCGTTTTAGACATCTCCAAACCTTAGATTTATCCAGGTTTAAATTTCGAGCTACATTCCGAACACTGGCATGAGGATCCATTCTAAATGCTTGCATTATTTGGTCATCGTGTATGTGTCTTACATTATTGTTTACAGCATACTTTTTTGGTCTAGGCTATCGAATATTTCCGGTAGCGTTAAATAAGTTGTTGATAAATGCTACCGTTTTAACATGAACATTTGGTCTGTCAGGATGTCGAGCATTAAAAATTCTTGTACCTTCAGCAAATGACGTATTTTCACCGACGATTCGAATAATTTCAACTTTTTCCTGAACTGTTAAACGAGCCATTGTTCCACTTTAAAATTACTTTTGACAAACTTACAATACATTTAAACTGAAATGTCAGATTTCTTTGTTAGTTTAATTGTTTTTTACTATGGAACCGGTCATGGCACACTGATATTTTTTATTCACAATAATGTACCACACATTCACGATGCCCAAATAATTCAAGCATTTAGAATGGATCTTCATGCCAGTGTTCGGAATGTAGCTCGAAATAATAAACCTGGATAAATTTAAGGTTTGGAGCTGTCTAAAACGATAAAATGGTGCGGCATTTCAAACGAAAAAAAAATGATAGGATAAAATTCACCGATGTTTTAATTAATTTATAGTTAGATTTAATTATTACGTCAACACCCTGTATGCTATCAATTTCATATTTGGTATAGGGGGGTTTTCGATGATGCTAAATAACAATATGCTATTATCAGACCATTTAAAAATTGCCTAATATATTTTTCTAAAAAAAATTGTTGTTTTTTTGTTATAACAACGAACGCCACTGGTGAAAATTAAATTTTCTTCTTGCGTCATGATCACCTGATGGGCAAGTACTAGCGACCAAAATTGTGTAAAAATCGTATTACTAATAACGGAGCTACAATATGGGAGTCATGAAAAGTGAGACACACTGTATATATATAAAGTATTATGGATTTATAATGCACTGTTTAAAGCCACACTATGGTTAGATTTTTGGGAGCGAACGGATATACGTGGGTACAAGTGATGCTGTCGTACTGGCTTATTTACGTCATGAAAAGTGAGACACACTGTATATATATATATATATATATATATATATATATATATATCCTTAAACGGCTACACGGTGGTCTGCCAGACACCTCGCGAAAATCTTTTACTATTATTTTGAAAACGCTTGTATATTGAGGGATGGGGCTCCATGTACCTTTCAGTCGACGACCTTTACACACATCAGTAAAGTGATAACGTCAGTGGCGCGTGCTGTGATTTATTATTATACCCCAAAGATAGACAGTGGTCTGCTAGACTACAGCGTAGCGATTACGTAAGTGTTTTTATTTCTGATTATATTTTTATTATTCGACTTTTCTATAAAATTATTTATATTTTATCATGGCTGGTGTTCCGGGATCTTCAAGAATGCATCCAGATGACCCAAAATTTCAAGAATGGGCACAAAATCTTTTGGTTGAGCCATCAGATTTTGATGAACTTGATTTGGATAGCGAAGACGGCTTAGAAGACGCTAATTACTTGGAAAGTGAACACGACACTCATGGAAAGACGATTGCAAAATAAAAATATACTCAGAGAACTAAAACTTACTTTGAAACGAATTCTAAACAAGACAACTGCAAATATCGAAATAGCAGCTGAAGAAGAGCGTCTGGAAACTCGACGGTTATGCCATATTTGTCCAAAATTGAAAAGAAAGACTCAGTATTTATGTTTTATTTGTAAAAAACCAATTTGTTTACAATGTTCCCGAAAAATTTGTTTAAAATGTAATGAAAACAAAAATGAATAAAAAATATTTTATTATTTTGTACTCTTGATGATTTTGGAAATAAAGCCAAGTTTTTTTGTTTGAAACAGGTTTTCTAAAGTTTTTTGTTTTATTTAAACCAAATTCTAAGTATTATTTGAAGTTAATTTAAATTTTAATACGAATTCTAATGGGGAGTCTGTGAGACCACGCTGTAGCGGTTAAAGGATTTTTTTGGACCGTAGCCGTTAAAGGATATATATATGGGCAGATCCATTACTTTTCGACAAAAGTGTGCGGGGGTAAGTCACCGATTTGGCTGCCGATTTTTTTCTCGAAAGTAGGTCATATAAGGAGACGATCCTGAAAATTTGAGCTCGATATAGGTAATTCCGGCTGCAAGAAAATTTTTTGAAATATAAAAAAAGTCGATTTTTTAGTCATTTTCAAAAATTCGTATCTCAGCTCCTATTTAACTTAGAGATTTGTTCAAGACGGCATTTTTCTCTGTTATCCCTCTATTTTCAATAAAAAAATAGGTTTTAAGTTTAAACTTAAATCCGGCTAAGCTGTAAGCCTCCAAATAAAACACTGCTTAAGATAAATTTTGACAATTTTTAAAGTGCTCTCAAATCTACAGTTTTTGAAGCAGTGGAATAAATGACAGATGATATTTTTCGTTAAGGTATACTCTGTTGGAATTTACCCATTTTTTACTTAATTGCTTCGATTTCTCTAATGTATGGCCACTCAAAGACAATTGATTTTTGAAAAATCAATGTTTTCAGATACCTACAACTTTTTTCTATCGATCCGAAATCCTTTGAAAATTTCAGGGATTATACTTTATTCTATTCCCAAACAAACCATCAAAACTTTTTCTTGGGTATTGAAGTGGTTTCCGAGCTATGCATTTTTAAAAATGTCAAATTTTCAATATAATATGACATTTTTGGTAGTTTTATTTTCAGTTAAATGAATTATTAGTAATACTTTAGTCAATAATCTATTAGACCTTGTTCATTTTTCTCGAAAGTAGGTCATATAAGGAGACGATCCTGAAAATTTGAGCTCGATATGGGTAATTCCGGCTGCAAGAGAATTTTTTGAAATATAAAAAAAGACGATTTTTTAGTCATTTTCAAAAATTCATATCTCAGCTCCTATTTAACTTAGAGATTTGATCAAGATGGCATTTTTCTCTGTTATCCCTTTATTTTGGATTAAAGAATTTAATTTTGATTTGCAAAAAGGTGAAATTAATTTTAAACGTTGGGACACAGCTGGAGGTAGAGCTTTTCTAGCCAATTATACGAAAAGTAAAAGCAGTGTTTTAGATAATTTGTTTTCTGATGTCTGGAATTTAACTCTACATTCTTATATTGCCGATTCTCAAAAAAATTATTTATTTGATTGTAAAAAAAAATTGCAAACTGATACTTGTATAATAATAATGGATTTCGCTGAGAATTACTCTTTTATAATACAACGTCCAGTACAAGTATTTTATTATAATAATTTACAAGCTTCAATTCATCCTTTTTGTATGTACTATAAAGATCCCAGCAAAGAAGATAACGAAAAACTGGAGCAACTAAGTTTTTGTGTAATAAGTGACACTAAGGAACATTTTGCATATAC